CTAGTTACTTTTCTGCAGTGGGTAGCTCTTCTGGCTATGACCTTGAAGCACTGCCCCTAGAGAGGGAGAAGGTAACTGCTCTACCTGCCTATGACCTTGAAGTACATCCCTGGGGCATGGCCTCTTGTGACCTTTAAGAACTGAGATGCATGTATGTGGGCCTCTCTCTCCCTCATTGTTTTCGGATGCTGAGACAGACCAGGCGAAGAAAAGCACAGACCATAGCTCGGCTTTCCAGGATCCTATGATAAATCAATCTCCTGTGCTGTAGTGAGTTTTTATCCCTCGATAAATTCCTTGCCATTTAAGCAGACTCAACAGATTTCTCACGTTACTTTTCCTCTTACTGTGGACAAACAACTGCTAAGAAGTAACTGCATGGAGAGACTAAATGGGGCTCATGGTTGGCATGAGAACAATCTACGACAGGGGAAGGCGTGGTAGCAGGAGCATGAGGGACCTGGTAACAAGGCATGGGTAGCAAAGGAACTGAGAGACTAGAGCTGGAGCTGGGCAGGCTATAACTCATCCATTCTGGCCCAATAGCCCAATGGCATCTATGTCTGCCAAGTAGGCCTCAGGTTACAACCTCCCAAAGTAGAGCTACCAGCTGTGGAAAAGTCTCCAAACACATGAGCCTATGAGAGACACACTGCATTCGAACCAAAACAAAAACGGCACCCACCACAAAGCCAAACACTGTGCCTGCTCTTCCACTCTCTTCTGACCGCATTGATCTCACAGCCAGAAAGCAAGTTCATCAAATTCACATGCATGCACTATGCCAAAGGCCTCACAGTGACACCTAAAGCCAGCCTCTGCCCTTGAAAAGCTAATGAGATAGTGGACACAGTCTGAGATCAACAATTCTGACAGAGGCAAACATGGTCAGATGTAGTAACAGCAAGAGATGTGATCTGTTATGGAAATCTGAGTGGGGAGAAGGCAAATTCTGACTTCAGATCTTGGGAAGCTTGCCCAAAGGCCTTATGGAACTAATGGAACTTTGACAATCCTTCTGGACATCATAAACAATCAGAAGACAAAAACAAAAACAAAACAAACAAACAAAAAACCCAGGAGGAAAGATACAATCCGAAAAAGTAAGGGATCTGAATGAGAAGTGAGTTTTAAAGTGGGAGAGAGCTTTCGATGCCTGCTGAAGGACACCCACCTTCATCCTAGGAGCAGGCCTCTCTATGGAGTTCCCCCTGAAATGCACAAGCAGCAATGTGAGAACCCACACAGAACACAGCAGCTTCGTGAGCCTCCTCAGAAGAGATGCTCTTGCAAACACAACCAGAGGTGGTGTTCTTATTCTCCACACAGAGATGTACTGCCAATGCTTAGCAATGCTCACATTTCATTCTAATCTGTGCTTGTTTTTTCAGCCGAAACTCTAGTCTGCACGGCATCCTTTGGTGTTTGGGGAAATAAGAGGAAATACACAAAATATAAAACCTGCTGACCTAACCAAGCTTATCAGCACAGCATTAAACACCTTTACCACTAACCATCTTATTTTATAAAACTGAAATTCTGTCCCTATAAAACACCATCTCTGGGTTACTCCCAAGGTCCCAGCTCCTATCATTTCACTTTCTATGAATCCAATTACTCTACTTACATCTTACAAGCAGAATCATAAAATATTTGCTCTTTCGGGAATAACTTAGTTTACTTAAAATGATGTCCATAAGCTTCACCCATTATGTAACGTGTAAAAATACCATTCCTTTCTGGGTCAATTTCTAAGGGTACTTTCCTAATGCAGGTTACCCTATGGCCACAATGTAAGCTATACATATTTTCTCATAATTCATATGACTTTTGACATTGCTTATGATTATTTCTGATATGCAAATTTTTATTTTCATTTAGCCATATATATCAACTTTTCATAATAATTCTAGATTTTAGGCCACAGTGAAAAACTCTTGAGACAGTTCATGATTATAAATGTTTTCTTCCAGCACTAAAACAATTTTTAATTCCTTTCTTAATCAATTCTTTAATTTATAAGCTTTTTAAGATGTATTATTATTATTGAAAATTTAGCAATATCCAGGAAATATTTGTTTAATTTTAATTTAACTTTCTAATTTAACTGTATTGTGGTTAAAGAACACATGAATGAAATTTTTAAAATATATACTAAGATTTGTTTGACCTATTTTGATAAATTTCCCACATACTCATAAATACATTTTACATTCTACTGTTGAATGATATCTTCTATAACTGTCAGTTCAATCAACTGCGAAGATAATCTTCAAGGCTATTGTGTTCCTACAGATTTTTATACCTGTTCATTAATTATTAAGAGGGCTTTGAAAATTCCAACTACCATTAAGAATCTGTCTATTTCTCCTATAGTCCTAAGAGTTGGCTTCATGCATTTCAAAGCTGTTATGGGGTACATAAATACTTATGCTTGTATTTCCTGATAATAAATTAACCTTTTCCTCACTGTCCTCTGAAACCAACTTCTTGTGATACTGCTATAAACAACTACAGTTTTACTTAGCGTGAACTAAGGTCTATTTTTGTCTTCTTACTTTTAAACTGTAAGTGTTCTAACATGATTCTTATAGACATCATATATTGGGATCTTAGAGTCTGACAACCCTTGCCTTGTATTTGGAGGATGGATCATTTACATTTGAACACAAGTTATTAAGAGGTTTCTAAATTTAGATTCCAAATGCCTGGAGCTATTGTGTAGTCTAATTCTTATTTATTTCTAAATCTATACTGCGGTTATAAACAAATACATAGGATTCCATTTAAAAAACATATACAATGGCCTGAATTACACCCTACTGTATACATTTGGTATAAGAGATCTTTTCTGACAGGTGTAGTGTAACTGCCAAGAATGCCTGAGGAGCCTTGTGGGTTTTTACAGTTCCTAGCACAGGAAGGACAGACAGGCCACACGAGTGCGTGTGCAGCTCTGCTCTGACATCTCAATGACAGGAGTGAGAGGTGCTCCAGTGTCCCTCTGCCTTGGGGTTGTTCTTGGTAGGCTTTGGAGGATTTGTATGAAATGAAAGTGTTGCTTCCCGCTATCTTCCCATCTCTTCTCTTATATGCAGTACACAGGTTCTTTCTGCTCATAACGATGTGTTGAACCAGACATACAGAAGGGATTCCACCTCATGATGGGAACTGGCATCAGTTTTCAGTTCACACAAGGCACCTCCTCAGCGCATCATCTATGGTGCACAATCACTCCATGGTGGTGGAGTGGGGCTGACTCTCCTGCCTGCTCCGATGGTGTCCCCTTCCTCACTCTGCTTCCGAGGCACACCACGCCTTGAAGGAGGCTACCTTTGCCTCACAAGTGTCCCAAATAGTCACCTCTGATATTTTCCAAACGTCCCTTGGTGATTAGAGAGCTACCCTCACCAAATCCATACAGAAGACATGTGATCCTATCTGGGGAAACAAAAAAAGGCCTTCTCTTCAGAAAGCAAAGCCTCTAAAACATCAGTGTCCCAGGGTGACCTTTTTGCTCCCCCCATCCACAAAACTAGCCTGGCACTGGCTCTGCTATTTTGGATTTTACCCCACTTCAGGAGAGAGAAATGGGAGGGACTGTCAAGGCCAAGTCTATCCACGCAGTAAAAGAAAGGACTCTACTCAACACTCATCGTGGGCAGGTATTGGTGGAGGTCTGTCAGAACATGAAGTTGGTGGCCATAACCTACTAAGGTGACAGGAAATCTGGAGCTGCCTTGTGAACTCCCTGACAGCACCATTTCTTCCCTAAGCTGAAGGCTCTTGCGCAGCTTCCTCCAACAGGACTGACTTCATTTCCACTCCAGCATCTCTACCCACAATGACAAACTCACCCTCCAAGGTTCTGAACAAACTACTCTGACTCTTTAACCTTGAGATCTGCAAATATCTGTCTAGCAAATATTGCCAAGACTTATGAAGCCATAAGCAATACAAACTAGAAAAGAAAGAGAAAGAAGTGAAGAAAAAGAAGACCACAATAGTATTTAAGATTTGTAAGGAAGGTTGGAGTAATTTTTGTATTGAAAGACACCTATTTGTAACAATTTTGCTTACATACTAAAATGTTATCTATAAGAATGTGAGTTTTTTTCATAATATTTTTGGAAAAGCACAGAATGACCATAGAGCATCAAGAGCACATGCTTCTTCCCATGTTTCCATGTACATCTTGCCATGTAGCTCTATAGCACGTATGTAAATAAGCAGCTACAAAGTGATATCCATCTCCCCTGTGGACCCTGAATGACTCACAAGGGTCCTCAACTCGCATCCTCATAACATGTATATTAACTGTCAAATAATTTAGCGCCTGCAAATAGTTTTGTAAGTGATAATGCTCACTACATAAATCTTGTATATGACGAGTAAGAAACATGTCCAACCATGCTCCAATATAAAAAAAAACATAGTCATATAATAAAGTCCCTTATTAAGAGATATGCTAACAGTTATAAGCTGCTAAAATAAGTATTCAGTTCTTCTATATCCAATAGTTAAGAGCAAAATTGGGCTTCAAGCTTTCCCAAGTCTCCATAATAACAAGCATGTGGAACAGAACACACACAGAAGTGAAGGACTGTATAAATGCACATACATGCGTGGAAATGTGTATTTATCCTCCCAGGAAACAAGAAGTTACAAGTGCTGGGCACACTGGTCATCAACTATTATCCGAAGCCAAGACTGAATTAGCTACACCGTGCTGTGTTCCTGACTCCTAGTCTGTGGAGGCAGATCTTATCAGCAGTACATGTGCTACAACCCAAGGAGTCTGCCCACTCAATGTACTCCTCAGACACAGACGTGGCATGGGCACCTCTAAGAACTTGACACATTTTACAGCTTTTGCTTCATGCTTTAGAGCTTCTGTGTTAATCTACTCTAGACTGAATTATTCTCTCCAAACAAAGGTCCACTACCTTTAACTTATACAAATGCTGAATATCTTTATATTAACCAAATATTTAACTTACCCTGGTAAATGTTCCTTCAAAACTATGAATATCCAGTTGTGGCTTCTGAGCATAAACATAGGCACTGATAGAAAAAAGGTCCTGGAAAATAGAAAATAAAAATGAGCATCAATCTTATGACTGAGCAAACATGGTTGCAGTAATTCTCAACACATGAAACTTCCATACCACACACCACCTTTTGATATAGGGCCATAAAGAACAAGCTAGCAACAATCCTCATTTCCACGCACACATGAACATTTACAAGCATGCGTCTCATTTAGTATATTAGACATCAAATGACTGAATAATGGCACAATAATGAGAGTGTCATTCGAAGCGTTTCATGATAATTTAAAAATCATTCTGAAGTTTTCAATAATGTAGGAAAGCCTCTGCTATTAGGTCAAGGGCAACATTTGTTCGCATTACTTAAAGGTCATTAAAATACATCCTTAATCATAACATGTGTTTCATTACAAATAAAATTGCCTCTTGTTCAATAAAACTAATTAAATGTAAATGGTATTGTTTACTGCTATATGGATCTTTTGAAATAAATCAGCAACTCATGATTTATTGAAAATTGCTGGAGTCTCATGGTTGTTAATAAATTTGCTTGATCACAAAAGCCAGAAGCGTATTTCCCCAATGTCTACAGTGTCTGGAAAGTGCTCTGCCAACAGGGCAGCCGCCCCTGGGAACCACATCTGGGACTGCAGAGCAGCAGAGCAGCCTTGGTCACAGGACCCTCCCCCGCTCCGTGCTCTGGCCACAGTAAGAGGACCATAGACTCTAGCACAAGCAGGTCACCTGCCCTGCACCCACTGTCAGGGGCGGGGAGGACATTACTGGGGTGGGACACAAAGTACCTCCAAATGCGTCACTCCCAGACACAGGAGTTAAAACAAGTGACAGCACGGTATTGTAATCTATAAAATGATAACAAACTGAACTGCCTGACCACAGTGAAATCAGGGCTTTCTTTTCTATGAAAAAGAACAGTGTGCTCAGCTTTGTGATGGTCTGTAGGTAGGTCAGTTCTTTTCTAGAAAATATTCTTGTTAGTTTACCACCAAATAAAAAATTAAAATGTCTTCATTAATTATACAATTATGTAGATGTAACCAACCTTCTTATTAAATAAGAAACACAGAACCAATGCAAAGAAGAAAGCCAAGAAGTCAGAGCTAAGAGCTAAAACCTTACCCTTCCTCCTGCGGTGGTCCTACCTCTCCGAACCAGAGCTACTTCCTGTGTTAAAGTCTTTATAAAGACTTTTGGTTCTGCCTTCTCATTGGTTGTAAACCCAACCACATGACCGCCTCGTCACGGTCTGTCTGTATAGACCTCCAGGTTTTCCATGATTGGTATTGAGATTAAAGGCATGTGTATCCAATAATGGCTGTATCCCTGAACACACAAAGACTTACCTAGCTCTGCCTACCAAGTGCTGGGATTACAAGCGTACGCCACCACTGCCCTGCTTTCCTATGGCTTGCTAATAGCTCTGACCCTGGGCAACTTTATTTATTAACACAATTATCTCACAATAATTACTCATACTTCCAATCAAATATCAGGCATAAAATCTGAAAGTAGCACTATATGAAATATATATTTCTTTAATTACTATTATATGAAATATATACCACAATAATTTAAATATAAATTAACATCTATATTTTCCATTAAAATGAAGAGAAGATTCTCCAAATATTGAATATAATAAAGCATGACTTCCTGTGATTAAAAAAGTCATTCAAAGTTATGAATATAGTATACTGCATTTTTTATTATTTTACTAGCACATAATTTATGTATATACTACACATAATTAAAATATAAAAGTAAATGATTTGATCTACATATATACCTATGCTCATCATCATAATCAAGATCTACAACACTCCTGTTACCTCCAAGTACCCCCTGTTCTCTCCCCTCCTCCACCTGCCATCTCCACTCTCATCCACTTGTACCTCCTGCATGTCTACTTCCACCCTCCCATCCAACCTACCTTCAGCTCTACCCGCCCACCCCTCTGCCTGTATTCTCCTGGACTTCTACATTTCTCTAGCTCCATTTCTACCTCTCCTTTCCTCCACCTCTACCTCTGAAGGACCTAGTGGGAAAGAAGCCATTCTAAAGAGATACTGGCTCTCTAGACCTGACTGTCAATGTTGAAACAATAGACACCAAAGAAATGGGAATTTCCCCAGGAATCTCATGCTGGGAGAAGGGAAGGGTGTCAGTCAAGGGGGAACTTGTCTCCTAGAGAAAGACTTCAAAGGGTTTTAGCACCTTGTCAGACACTTTACAGGCTGGGACCCAGACAAGGATGGGTCAACAGTGGTACATGGGACATGCCTTCACTACAACTGCTTAGATGTTTGTGTCCTTAGCCCTCTATTTAAACTCTGATCTCATTTCAGAACCCCAAAGATGTACTTGAGAGGTTTTGTGGATACCCTGTCCTTCTACCCAATGTGGCCACATTGACTAAATCTCGCTTCTCTGCTTTCCACTTTTAACGGCTCTTTTAAGTGGTTTACAAGGAGAAGTGGCTGGACCCGCCTTGGAGCCCAAGCTGTGACCCTACGTTTTGAGAATAGCCCTCCTCTGCTGTCCTCCACCTCCACTCCGACCGTCTTCAACTGCTGCTTTGCTCTTCCAGAATTGCTTGAGCTGAATCACAAACAGCATATTCTTGTTTAGCTAAGTTTCAATTTTCTTTCAAATTCTTTCTAACAGGGTTTTCATTCTGCACTTTCTTTTCTGCTACTCTCAGCAAACATCAACTTCTCACTTAGTGTGGCCACTCCCGAGCTGCCTACTGCCAGTGTACGCCAGGGTTCGTGAAGGATATTCAGGGGGAAGACAGAAACTGGAGTCATCACCCACTTGGAACAGTTTTAAAACATCCTTTTAGTTTCCTCCAGACACACTAGTAAGGAAATAGCACAAGGGGTTATATGTAACCAAGAAGGAGCAACACTCACCCCATGAAAATGTATTCGTTTTTATGTTTTTTTCATTGTTATATCTCTTTTGTGTGTGTGCCAGACTGCAGAGGCCACAGAACAAGTGTAGAGGTAAGAAAACTTCTGGAGGGACTCAGTCCTCTCTTTCCACCATGTGGACTACCGGGGCTTGACCTCAGGTCAGCAGGCTTGCTGACAAGCACCCTGGCTAGCCATCTCACTTGCCCGAATTTATTCATTTTAACAAAGTAGGAAAGAGAACGAGAAGACAACTGTCTTACATTTAACAGCACAACTTTATTTTGCAACATAAAAAATAAAGTAAAAATGGAAACCACTGAAAAGGAAGACAAGTATGGACAAGGCCCGAGAAAAAGGAAAGAATGGAGTGCCCTGGTTAAAGTGGGAGGTGGGAAGGAGCTGCTTGGCCTTCCCTCTAAGGCCGCACAGGTGGCCGACAGACTCAACTGTGGGATGGATGGGCTTCTTCATCTGTACATTCAAGGCAAGGACCGGTCTGAAATATTTCAGAAAATGCACATTATAAATGCCAACGACCCTTTTGACTCCACCTACTGAGAGGTACTTGAAGTGACTGAAATGACAGGTAAGAGCTGTCAGGAAAATAGCATTAGGGCACGCTACCGTTGACCCAACAACAGATATTATGAAGCCACTAGTGCAAACACAGATGAAAAGATCCCATTTGTAGCATGCACTGGGCCAAGGTCTAGGGAACAGGCACAGCGGTGTTGAACTGACTAATATGAGACCTGCATTCTCAGTGAAAACAACTATAAAAATGGATTAAGTCAGGAAGTAGCCATATTCAGACAGGCACACAATGACCCGAGGGAAGACAGACATATTGTGTGCCCTTTGTCAGGGAGCACCAATTCACAGCACGAGAGGAGATGCCAAGCAGCGGAGGCAGGCTCAGGCCCAGAGACCAGCTCAGGAAAACTGTGGACCTGCAATTGCTGGGAAGGAGGTGGAAAGACAAGGAACAGCAGGAGTTCACAGAGGGCTCCACTGGAGTCAGCCGCCCACAGCAACACAGCATGTAAGGGAGAAACCCTCTGGCCAGGCACTGTGTAAACCTCCAGACTGCACCTTCCTTAGAATCTGAGAGCTCAGAAGACATCAAGTTTGGAGAGAGGGGGAGAGAGAGGGAGAGAGAGAGAGAGAGAGAGAGAGAGAGAGAGAGAGAGAGAGAGAGAGAGAGAGAGACCGAGCAACCAAGGAGTTTAGTGGATCCCAGAAGGAGCACATCCTAGCAGTGGGATTAAACCAGCATTCCCGCCCACAGGAGCCCACTCTAGAAACATGTAAGAACAGCCCTGACAAGACTAAGCTCATCTGCAAGGTTTTGAACCAAGAATGTAGCTAAGAGGCCCTGAAGGAAGAAAAAATTTCAGACATTGACTGTAACTTTTATAATATACAGTATTAAAAAATAAAAAACTAGACATTCAAAACAGGAAAGTGTGACCTGTGACAAGGACAAAATTTTCAAATAGAGACATACTCCAAAATGACAGAGATGACAAAATTACTAGCTATAGAATTAAGTATCATAAACTGATGTAAAGATCCAATCAGCTCTATATTTAGTCAAGAAATTCAATTCGTAATTACATACTTTCCAGAAAGGTTAACTCTATGACCAGAGAGTTTCAGAAGTGAATCTGTTCAACACATAAAAAGCAGTGGTGACACACGCCTTTAATCCCAGCACTTGGGAAGCAGAGGCAGTCAGATCTCTGTGAGGTCTAGACCAGTCTGGCTGGTCTACAGAGTAAGTTAAGGGACAACTAGGACTGTTACACAAAGAAACCCTGTCTCGGAGACACACACACACACACATACACACACACACACACACACACACACACACACACACACACACACACACACAAAGCAGTAGCACTTATTTATGACAACTATTTTAAAAAGCAAGAAGCAAAAAGACTCCATACAATACTTCATAAGGCAACATATATAAGGCAGCATAGCCCTAGATATCAAACAACAGACATTAAAACAAACCAACATGAATCAGTATCCTTTGACATATGTTCTCTCTCTCCCTCCCCCTCTCTCCTCTCTCTCTCCTCTCCTCCTTCTCTCTCTCTCTCTCTCTCTCTCTCTCTCTCTCTCTCTCTCTCTCTCTCTCTCAGCAAATATAGAAAAGTAAAATACTATAATATACGAAAAGACACCCAACAGGAGAAAGTGGGATTTATCCCATTTTGTGGTTGGCATGAAAACAAAGCCAGTACAAAGTAAGCAACATTATGTATTAATATATTAACAAAGGAGAAAAACACAAAAGATAGTCTCCAAAGATAGAGAAATGCCTCTAAAAAAAATGGAATACCCTTTTGTTACTGTTAGGCCTCAGGCTGTCCAACTATTCAGAAATACAGGAGGATTTCTGGAGGTTAGATAAAAGTCAGCATTCCTCAGGAACTTGTGAAACCACTTTCCATCTGCAAAAAGGAGTCATTTCCTTAACTCTGGCAGAAGGGACAGATGGCTACCTGGGGTTGCATATCAAAGCCCATGCTGACCTCCAGGCTCCCTCAGTATCCACGTCAAAGTCCATGCCAGCAGCCTAGCCCTTCTCACCTCCTCCCTTACCCTAAACTCCCTCAGCTATTCCTCCTTCTTATAGCCTGGCTCTTCTCACTATTCCCTTATCCCCACTTAGACTCTGGCTATGCTCTATTCTCTAGCTCTTGCTAGCTGGCCATCTATTACCTCCACTAGTCTCTCCTTCCTGCTCTCCTCCCATTTCTCTAGCCCTGGTCATGTTCAGTCTGCTGACCATGTTCAATCTACTTCTTTCTCTCTCTGTTCTCAGCTCTTCCAAACATCTCCGGCTGTTCTCTCTCTCTCATATTTACAATAAAAATCTTAACCATATCATAGAGCAGTCACATCAGCAGTTTCTTTACTGCATCCCCTCACACAGTTATCAAGCCTCCAAGCAAACTAGACTAGGAAAAACTTCTTCAACCTGATCAAGAACATCTATGAATAAATAAGACTATAGCCAGACAGAAAGTAGACTGCATCCCCTGCCTTCAACTGAAGGATAATGGGTATCTTATTACATGCTTTGTTTTGAATTGAGTAGGGGGAGGACAAACGTGTGGAGGTCAGAGGTAAAGATTAAATGTTGTTCCTCAATAGTTGTCCACCTTGTTTTTTGAGAGTGTCTCTACATTGAGCCCACAGGATCTACCTGCCTCTGCCTTCCTGGCACATGGATTTTAACTGCATGCCTGGCTTTTTATATGGGTGCTGAGGATCAAACACAGGCTCAAATATCACAGGCTATTGGTTGTTGCCCACATTCTGATAGTAAGGTCCTACTGCTGAAAAACCACTTAGCTATGTTATCAAGCATGGAAAAATTGGGCTGGTGCCCAACTAGAAACTTCACCCCTACTGACAAACATTCAAGGTGCTACAAGGCACTTTGCATGTTGCTAAAGGAGAAAATTAATCCTCAATATCACCCAGCTACAAATCCTGTATTCCTTCATAAAGGAAGGAATAAGGAAACTATTTTAGGGTCCGACTGGTTTTGGCAAAGATATAAAGATAGAAAATATTTAAGGAATGAACCCCAGCTTAGAAACTACCTGAAATACAGGTAACACTAAAATACCCAAAAAAGCAAATTTTGCCCAAATCTCAGTCATATGAATCACATTTAACTCCCAGAGTCCACACACAGTGGAGGAAGCACCTGCTGTCCATGGAGGTCATGAACTGTACAGTAAAGCAGCTATTCCTCCCCTCCAGAAGCTCTTCTTCTCTTGGCAATACTGCCTGAGTTAAAAGGTCACTCTTAACGATCTCAATCTTTCCTCTATCCACAGAAGGCCAGCAAATCATGTAAGACAAAGCTTCTTGTATCCAGATTTGTACTACATATAAACTAAAAAATTGAAGCATCAATTGTTACAACTGTAGCTTTTTTTGTAAAGGTAGGAAGGGGGGAGGAGGGAAGAAGGGAGGAGGAAGTGGAGGGAGGGAGAAGGGAGTGGAGGAAGGGAGGAGGAAGGAGGGAGGTGGGAGAGGAGGGAGGGAGGGAGGGGAGGAAAGAGGGAAGGAGGGAGGGAGGGAGAGAAGAGGGAGGGGAGAAAAGGAAGGAGGAAGGAAAGAAGAAAAGGTATACTCACAGAAGAGACTGACATCTAGGACAGCTGCTTTAGAAATGATTGAATCCACAAAAATCTATGCTCCTGTTCTCCCTAAACTCTCCATGCAGCTTCCCAGGGTGTGTGTGAGGGGGACCCACTCTGCAACTGTTAAGCTGTGATAGGAACATATCTCCCCTTCTCTCAGCATACAAGACAGCAGCGCTCACTTCCTCCAGATCAAAGTCTCCTGTCCTTGGAAGAAGAACTGCAGGCACAAGACTTGACTCAAAGACCAGGCTAAGTAAGGCCTGTTCTTTTCTCCCAGAATACCTTACCCTGCTACTCAGTAAGCAGCCAGTTCTCAGCAACAGACTCACCAGCCTGTCACCCCAAGGTCTCAGCTTCAAAGTACTTAACTAAGATGTTAACAACAAATAAAAACATAGTCTAAGTGCCAAATCAACAGGACATTCAATACTATCTAAAAGAGGCTCTGAACTAGGAAACCACATCATCTTTAAGGACCTTGAGGAAAAAGAAAAACACACAGAAACTTCCTTGCCACTTAAAAACCACTGCTGAAAGGAAAGGAAAGGGAAAGAGTAAAAAGAAAGGGAAAAAGGGAAAGGAGAAAAAGGAAAGGGGAAAAGGGAGAGGGAAAGGGGAAAAGGGGGAAAGGGAAAGGGGAAAAGGGAAAGAAAGGAAAGGAAGGAAGAATGAACAGTGCCCAGTGGTGCTCACCCCTAGGGCTGGCAGCCTCTGTGTGCAGCTCACCGCCACCTTCAGCTTCCAGTCGGTCTCACCATCTAGCTGGTCCGTGCGGATAAAACATGAACCTTGGAGGTAGAGGAGAAAACATCACCATCTGGAACTGCATTGAAGAGTTCTCCTAAATTATGTGTTTTCAAAGCAGATTTCAGCACAGTGGGACCCACAAAATGATTCATCTGAATAGTCCAAAGAACAACCAGCTTTAAAAGCCCTCATTTCAGATGCTATCATTTGGCTCCGAGAATAAATCTATTTTTTAATCACTTACGTCCTGTTTGGTACCCGTGTTTTTGCTGCAGTGGTAGTTCTGGTGGTGGCAGTGACAGTATCTGTGCATGTTTTGCATGTGTTATGGCTCAAACCCAGAGCCCTGAGCATGCTAGACAAGTGCCCTACCACTGAGTTACAACCCCTGCCTATGCCTGTTAAGGTTTAATATCAACTACTACTTTATTTTAGAAAGCTGTCTAGATCATTTCTACTTTTAATCTATGTGCTGATGATGACAAGATAATAAGATACATACAAAAATATCTCAAGAGTCTGACATTACCTTGGTAATAAAATGTTAATTGACCAACATAAATGTTCAGTAATACAAGCACAGCTAAAATGCTAATACCCAGGTAAGTGCTATTGTATAATAACAAACCCATCAAATTTCAAAAGGGGAAAAATCTGAATCCCAGCAATATAATTACCCCCAGACCATACTCATCATCCCTTTTCTCAGAATTGATCCTAGAGATGAAAACAAACACAAATGCACTAAATGATACACACACAGAGCACTCCCTGAAACAGTGTTACAATAATGAAAGGTTAGCACAAGGATTAGAGAATGAGTGGAAGAAAACAGCAGAGGCAGCAGCTCAAAGAAGGCAAGCACAAAGAGCTCAGCAATGTGAGAAGATCCGTAGGACACAGTGTTAAGTGAAAAAATATGGCGCACACGTACATGGGGGAGGGGGAGGAAGAGAGAGAGACTTGACTGAGGCATGGGGCACACACTTGCAATGCCAGCACTTGGGAGGTAGAGCCAAGAGGATCTGGAATTCAAGGGTGTCCTCAGCTACACAGAGAGTTTGAGGAGAGTTTGGGCTACAGGACACCCTGTCCAGGGGGGAACAATTAAAACATTATGTTTAAGAACAACAGAGGGCAATGCATGTGCAAAGTGGGATATTCTTGCAGTGGTAACTGCTTGCTTGAAGGGGGTTTGATAAACACTGACACGAAGTGGTGGAGGGGAGGGAAGGAAGGTAGAGGAAAAATATTTATGTATGTTCATATCTCTATGTGCTGTTATATAACTATAAGTATGCAAATCTGCATCCTTTTGTGCCTCTGTGTGCATGTATCTTTTATATGTATGCAATGCGGTCTTGTGCATCCATAGATATCTGTTATGTGTTCATACATGTGTTTCTGTGCTCTATGTATAAGCATACCTGTGTGTATATCTATACATATGTTTTGTTACACACATATACAAATACAGATATGTGAAATATACATAGGGAAGAAAGGAACAGAACAGAAGCTGGAATCTTCCTGATCATACCTTACAATGTTCATTTGGAAATCATACATGCTTTACATAATTTAAAGAACAAATTACAATAAGCTTGTAATAAAGCAATTCTTAAGCAATAAAAGGAAGTCCAAAAAACAACAAATTCAGGGATATGAATGTAGACTATGGCACTGCACTTGTCAAGTATGTGCAAGACCTTTGATTCAATCCCCAACACCACAAAAAGCAAAACAAAGAAAAATCAAATTCATGCTTCAGTCACAGAGAATTCTCTAAGTCACTTATAAACTTTAATTATAAAACGAAAGTTACAACCCCCACAAACCTTGTTATACTCCATATACATTATACTCTAGTATGAAAAGGTGTACACCTTGTAAACCAACCCAGAGTCCCCATCAGCACCCTCCCTCCCTCCTGAAGGGACACTACTGACACCTCCACCTCCCAGGTGCCTGGTCTCAGCACAGTATCAAAGTCACTGGTAATTTTCAGGCTCCATCTATTCCCTCCTTTACCAAGTCATGGGCTGGAAGGCCTGGGTCTATACCGATACCATTCACTGATATTCTGAGCCTATCTTACACTCCAAACATGTCAGCCTTTTGTCCAGAGGCACCAAGGATAGCTTCGGTTCTGTCCTGAGGCTGGAGCCAGCCAGACTAAGTAGTCAATGCCCAGTGCTGCAGCAAAGGAGGATACAGACAGTGAGGTCTACCTTTCTTGCTCATGTGCAGTTGCAATAAAACCCAAGCAGAGATTTCTGTCCTTAGGAATCAACTAGCCTTGAGGTAGCTCCCTAGGAAAAGGGTGGCTTGTCTTTCTTTACTAACAATGTTTCAAGACAAGGAGCTTGAGTATGGGGGAGAGGGGAATGAGTTACTGCATTGCAAGTTTCACAGAATGCCACCATTATTATTTTACACAACCTCAAAGCATCCTACATTTTCAGTGTTCCCTGGGCTCTGCTGAAGGACTGTTTCTGGGAGAATACTTTAGAATGTGTTGCAGTCCTTTCTCATGGTTCCTAAGAGCCTAGCACAAGTACACAGTTTCTCACCCCAGAAAGAGCCTGATCCAGGAACTACCTTAGGAGTTTCTGTACATGCTGCCACCTTTAAAAAGCTGGCTACCAAGCTCTCTAGTGTTTCCAACAATGCCCATTAGGCATGAACCTTGCTAGGCTCTTCTCCAATCTTCAGGTAAAGGTACAGAAATCTTGTCCTCGGTATCTGTTTCTGCCTCTGAGTAGATGCTCTGGGCCACTTCTCTGGACCTGCAGAACATTTGCTCTTCAAGTGATTCTACAGTTGTGTGGTGGTTTGTACAAGAATGGCCCCTACAGGCTCATAGACTTGAATGCTCGGTCATTAGGGAGTGGTGCTACTTGACGTGGATTAGGAGGTGTGGCCTTGTTGGAGGAAATGTGTCACTGGGGGCGGGCTTTGGGGTTTCAAATGCTCAAGCCAGGCCCAGTGTCTCTTTCTCTTCCTGCTGTCTATGGATCTGGATACAGAACTCTCAAGCTACTTCTTCAGCACCATGTCTGCCTGAGTGCCACCATTCTCCCCATCATAACAACAATGGATTAAACCTCTGAACTGCAAGCTAGCTCCAATTAAATTCTTCCCTTTAGAGGACTTGCTGCAGTCATGGTGTCTCTGCATAGCAATAGTACACTGATTAAGACACTTGGGATAGCAGCACCTTCACAGATTTCCTTCAGCCTGCCAAACCTCGTTAGGGTAACAGAACTGTGAGCCTGGAATAGAATTCTACTGGACATGACTAGAAGCTGGTCCAGTATTTATCCCAAGTCTACTTCAGCAGGGTATCCACAACACGGGACTGGGGAAAACAGCAGAGGCCAGTTCCTCCTAGTTAGGGTCTTTGTCTTAACCTGGCAGCTTCTGGTGCCTTGGGAGTTGCTTGACTCCTGGATACAGGGGCCTACAGAAGATATGGGAGGAAGAAAGAGGGTATGACTCAGTTGCCATTGACTCACTCTATTATTAATAGGGAAAAAAATCTGAAAAATACTGAAACAATTTCTCTCAAGAGATATATAACTGAACATTTAAGATTAGCACAGAGATTTTCTTTAGCGAAAATCAGAAGCCCTACATTGGTTTTCAACCAGAGACAATTTACACTTGGCAGCTTTAGGAGACATTTGGTTTTCACAGGAGTGCATGCTGGGGATGCTCCTGGAATCCAGTCGCATAAAGCCAAGGATATTTTCAGCAAGCTACAATACAGAAGAGTAGCCCTATTTTAGTTACTGTTCTCATTGTTGTGAAACAATGCCTGTCACAAACACAGGGAGAAAGATGTATGTTGACTCATGGTTTCATCAAATTTAATCCATGGTCATTTGGTCTTATGTCCTAAGGACAACAAATCATTATGGCAGCAGATAGTATGGCAAAAGACAATTGGTCGTATGACCAAGGACAGGAAGAAAAAGAGAAGTGCTGATGCTAGACATAATTTCTACTTCTTCCCTTTCTGGGGGAGTGGTCTGTGAGATGTCACTGTCATTTAGGGTAGGTCTTTCCCACTCAACACTCATTGAAAATGCCCTCACAGGTGCACTCAGTGGCATCCTTCACCAATCTCTGAGGTGATCTAAATTTTGTCAAGTTGTAATGAAGGGTTAACCTTAGTAGACCCCATGAACAAAAATGAAGGATCCCTATAATGTAGCACAGCGCAGAAGAAAGAATCAGACAGCCTGGAGCCAAGCACTACTCTGACAATGTACTAACTGTTGCGCCATGTAAGGTTACATTTACATTATGAAGCCTCAGTTTTGTTCCTTTTTCTTCATCTACCCAATGAGAAAAATGCTGTGGAATATTCCTTTACATTGTGTGCATATATGTTGCTGTGACGAGTCTAATAAAGAAACTGATTGCCCAATAGCTGGACAGAATAAAGTTAGTCAGAAAAACCAAACTAAGGACAGGGAAGAAGGGTAGGGTCTGGGAGATGCCAGCCTGCCACTGCAGGAGCAGGAGATGCTAGAGAATAGGTAAAGCCACAAGCCAAGTGGTAATACATAGAATAATAGAAATGGGTTAATTTAAATGTAAGAGTTAGCTAGTAACAAGCCTGAGCTATTGGCCAGGAATTTGTAATTAATATAAGTTTCTGTGTATTTATTTGGGACCAGGAAGTCGGGGCAGGAAAACTCCACTTACAGAAAAATATCTTTGAAATCATGTTATAAAACTTATAGGAAAATTTTCCAGAAGTCTGCCAAGAATGTATGCTATATGAACTCATTAACTGATTGTTTATTACTTTCATTATCACAAATCTGAAAAGATAAAAGTAGGTAAGACCGTATCTTCACATAGCTGCATCCAATAACCCTTTCTTCATAATCATCTGAAATGAAAAGAGATTATGAAAATCCATACCTATAATTACCTTGTGTCTCCTTGATTGCCAGAGAAGAAACAATGTCTGTACTAAGCTAATGAATATTGTCTTGTTCCTACTCTGTATAAAGATCATTCTCTT